CACAGATCTGCCTCAGCCATGTTCCCACACAGATCTGCTTCAGCCATTTTTTCTACACAGATCTGCCTCAGCCAGATCTGTGCCAGAGAACAAAGAATTTGCATGCCAGAACTCACAAGCACCAAATTATATCACCTGCGCCTCCTGAAAATATCTATGACACGCAGCCTCATTTTAATTATTTTAATTCCCACTCAGTTTTCCTGCCGCCCCCCAGTATGTAACAGTAGAAAAGTATGCCCGAAACACATTTTAAGGTTTTGAGATTGATGCAGGGCTGGCCCAAAATAAACCATTAAACAAAAAATGTAACTCCATATATATATACAGTATGCATAATTTATTAAGGAGTTCAAGTGTGTTGATATAAGGACAGAATGTTGTTTTTTTATCATTTATTTAAACTTTACTTATTGTTTATTTAAATTTTGCCTGCTTCAATCTGTGGATATGTATACCCGATAATCAAAGAGCTTTGAATCAGTGCAACATTTACATAAGTAATCAGTAATAGGAAAAAAACAGCTTGTGGTGACAGAAACAGCTGAGGACCAGTTCTTGGTTTTCCTATTCTCATACTTTTCTGCCTCTGTGCCAACCAAGCCATTTTCCTTCCCAAGTACTACTAGATACATAGGGGTATGCTTTTTTTTAAATACACTTCCTTGTCTCAAAATGGCTTGTGAGGTATTACAGATAGATTCATGTTTCAAAGGCTTATTGTGAAGCTACCCTGGCAGTTTTTAAAAAGCAAATATTTGTAGTAAAGTATACTCTCTGATGCATCTTCATTTTCTCATATGCTTCATAAATATTTATGGAAATCAGTGTGTTGATTCCCTCTCCGTTGCATCTACTTTTAAAAAGAGCTGGAGTGTGAACATTTTTAACATGTTTACAAGCACAGTAAGCCAGTATCATCTTAAAATCAAAAGAATTGTTTTGGTTTTATAAGAAATTGCAAAAACTGGAAAAAAATGGAACTGCTACAACTTTCCTTGAGTTACTATGTACTGTTGTTTAAGTGTTATTCATAACTCAACACAGTCCATTAAGTGATGATTAAATAGGGGCAAAAGTGGACATTTTATAGGAGCAGGACAGCACTGATCAGACTGCATTTTCGTTTTTTTATGTTGCGATAAGCAGTGGACGAGAAATGAACCTCGTCTTCAGTTACTTGGTTATTTTTCTTTGTTTTGTAGAGATTAGAACCTATTCCGAGCAACAACAACCGTACACTCACAGCCGGAAACATCACATTTGTAGATAGAGAGGTTTTTTTCATAAGCAAATTACGACCTGAGCATTTTGTTTCCCCTGAACACCCCTGAATTTCCCGTTAGTCCACCTAGCCCTGGTTCTGGCAGGAATTTCCTTTTCGACTAACAACACTGAAGCACACACACACACACCAGCCTCTTCCCTTAGCCCATACGTCATCGCACAGCCAGAATCGCTGGCGTGTCTCTATTAATAAACACACAGACTGTCCGCAGAGGATAACAAGGAAAGGAAAGCAGCCTCTAGAACTCCATAGCTGTAGGTTACTGAGAATTGGCTATCTATGAATTGGCTTCATTACTCTGTTCTCCTCCCCACTGATAGCTGGTGTGTGTTGAGTGTAGTGGTGCACTGTGGCTGCTGTTGTATCATCCAGGTGGGGCTGCACATTGGTGGTGGTGGAGGGGAGTCCCCATTACCTGTAAAGCGCTTTGAGTGGAGTGTCCAGAAAAGCTATATAAGTGTAAGCAATTATTATTATTATTATTATTATTAGGTGCTTTGGATTTCTTGGTTCTGTCTGGCAATGGGGGGCAGAGAGTCCGTCTGCCCTGCCTGGCGAGATGGTCTCTTACTTCATTTTAAACCACCTCTGTTTGGAATCTATCCATCCATCCATTTTACTGCCCATTGCAGGGCACACACAGGCACAAACACACGCACCCCCACACCCGGGACGATTTTCACAGAAACCCATTGGCCTACCAGCATGTCTTTGGACTGAGGGAGAACATACAAACTCCACACAGACAGCACCCCAGGAATCAAACCCAGGGCCCCAGCACTGCGAGGCAGCAATTCTCACCAGTGCTCCGCCATGCCGCTCCACAGCTAAAGCCCTACTTAGTAACCACCTGTGCGCATGAAATTTCCAGACCCGCGTTCGTTCTAGAAAGGCAGGCTGTTCATAATTTGGCTTCATCTGACTCTGTTTCTCCCTCTCTCTCCCCAGGGTTCTTAAGCACAGGGGACCAGGCTGCCAAGGGGAACTATGGGCTCCTGGATCAGATCCAGGCTCTGCGCTGGCTCAATGAGAACATCGGGCATTTTGGAGGCGACCCAGAAAGAATCACCATTTTCGGGTCTGGAGCTGGAGCTTCCTGTGTCAACCTTCTCATCCTGTCTCACCACTCCGAAGGTAAGGCGGAGAGTGTGGCAGTGGGCACTAGCCAGATGAATGCTGGATAATGGCAAGGAGGTTTGCCAGTCATCAGCTGTTGTGTGGCTTGTGTGTTTACTGTTAGGGAGCACGTTCAATTTCAGAAGGAAAAGTTTATCAGCTGAGAAACCTGCTTACAATTTTGCTATTGGGTAACGTAGACAGTCCAAGACTGAATGTACATGTCTTTTTGTTCCACCTCATTTCTCTTGCTTTTGCATTCAGTGCAGCTGTTTAGATATGGTCTTTTGCATACTGTATGCTAATTTAAGCACATGGGTGATGCCTCTGCATTTGCTTATTTTACATCAGACACATCAGATGCAAGTTTTGCGTCCCTTGTTGTAATTGTGTAATTCTGCTGTCTCCTGAGTGCTGATTTTTCTTACCGTTAAGTGCTTTGAATAACCACTTTTAAGGATGCTCTATAAACCAAAAGTTTATTATTATTATTATTATTATTATTATTATTATTATTATTATTATTATTATTATTATTATTATTATTATTATTATTATTATTATTAGATGGCTGCTAATTCAGTGGACAGGCTGTCCTCTATTGTTCAGATGTCACTAGTTGGAGTCGGGGCGCTGTCATCTGTCCTGTTGAGAAGGATTCCCCAGTGGTGCTGTGTACTGCCAGTGTACTGTGGACTGAGCGGGCCTGATTTGCCCAGTGAACAATATCTTCATCTTGGTGGCCGGCAGTGAACTCTGTAATTTCCCAGCCACCCATGGGCTTACAGTGTTCGTACTGAGAGCCTCATTACACCTCCAATCGATGCCAGCGCTCCTGTACTGCCACTGAGGCACTGGGTGAAATGAAACAGTCTAAAAAGTGTTCCTATCAAACACTAGCACGGCACTCTCCAACCTGAGCTGGTATAAGGGCTCTGCCGGTATGCCAGGCTGAGGTACAGTTTAAGATTCGAACTGAGGGTGGGACGTTGGCGCAGTGGTTATTTAGCATAGCTGCCTCCCAGTGCTGGGGCCCTGGGTTCAATTCCGGAACTGGGGTGCTGTCTGCGTGGAGTTTGTATGTTCTCCACATGTTTGCAGGGTTTCCTCTCACATTCCAAATACACACTGGTAAGTTAATTGGCTGTGACTGTGCCCGTGTCTGCCCTGTGATGGACTGGCACCCAGTCCAGTGTGCACCCTGCCTGGTACCCGTTACTTGCCGGGACAGACCCGGATTCCCCCGTGACTCTGAATGGGCTGAAGTGTCTAGAAAAAGGAGGAGTAGTACTCTGGGGGGATGGATGCCACATAGAGGTGGTTTAAATTAACATGGGAGGCCGTGTCAATTTCACACAGAAAGAAAAGGGAGCAGTCTGTAGCTCAGGGTGTCCGTTTCTAACCCCCTTGTCTCGTCTTTCATTGGTCTCTCTCGCTGTCACTGACTTCTCTCTCCACTGCTCCCCTGTATCCATTCTGCTGTCTCTCATCTCATCTGTCAGACTTCCAGCACATCTCTGCACCATGATCACTGTGCACACAAGGTAGGAAGGATTGTTTACCTCTTTTTTTCCCCCGGGAAGTAAAATTGCAGTCATTCTATCCAAAAAGTGTGTTTACTGTACCTCATTTTCCAAAATCCAAGAAACAGATAGCAAACTTAACTTTAGGCTACTTAAACCTTCTATATACTCTCACCCTAAGTATATTCAAACTGAAATTCCTTGCCATGACTCTCTAACCAGATACGATGTACACTTTATTATTTTATTATATAAACAATATAGTTGTGTGTGAGTAACCAGTATTATTAGAAAGATGGGGTATTGTATTGGTCAAATTGTTAAAAAAACAAAACTATCTCAAGAATGTAGAAACAGTTATTCTGTGTAATTATTGTTTGAATTGTCAAAACCCCCTACGACACAAAGAGACCTGTCCTGTAGGCATTCAGAATAATTGTTTTTAGTTCCAGTACAATGTTATCGTCTTCATGAATGATCTCCCTTCAGATGGACAGAACTAGAAAGTAGCGCCCTCTTAAGATCATCTCCACACAAGTGGTACAAATATTTCACTTTGGTATTTAACTAATTCATTGTATTTCTGAAGCGCTCTTCTTTTCAATGAGTCCCAGAGTGCTTCACAAATAGAAGGAATCACACTTCAACCACTAATGAAGAAGAGGGCGCACCTTAAGGGAAGCCAGATTGCCCAAGCCAAGAGTAGACTTTATTCCTGTGAGCCAGGCAAATGTCCAACAGCACCTACAGCACAGTGTCCCCCAAAGGTGCTGGTTGGACATTCTGGTTCAGAGGGGAGAGTGCCACCTGCTGGTCCTGAACAACCTTACATCAACAACCTGGTTTTCCTTGAAGGTCTTCCGTCCTCTCCCATTGCTTAGCTCATAGAAGTTGATGAAGTCTACATTTACATGAGGCTCCAGTGCAGCAGCCAGGCAATATCAGTCCGGCATTCACTTCATAGGCTGTTTGAAGAAAAAGGATATGGAAATAGAAATATGACCCCTGCGATGGACTGTGGCCCCGCCTTGCCCCTATTGCTCCTGCTCTCCCACAGCCCTGAACTGGAAGCAGCCGTTGGAAAATGAACACGACCCATTTCTTGCAATGCAGGTTCGCATTCCAGGATAATTACACTTGAACCACACCTGCTCGGTATTCATATTCTTCCCCACGAAGAGTGCAAAGAACTCTATTCATGCAAAAGACAAATAATTACAGAAAGCTATTTGACGCTTCTCATGAAGTCCCGGCTCTGTTTTCTTGTGTCACATAAGCCCAGTACAGGAAAAGGGAACAAGTGATATGCATCGGAGAGGGAACCTCAGACTGTAACAAACCTCTGCAGATCCGCCTGTATTACAAAAGATTGCTGTGTGATGTACAGTCTGAAATATCTTCCTAGTGCCACACTGCTGACCGGCATAACAGATTAAATGACAGAGCCAGTCTGCGAGCCTGGCAGTGTCGGCAACTGTTCATACCTGTGTACAGAGCTGCAGTGAGGATTTGCGTTGCTAATGTATGACGCCATCCAGGCTGGCACGGCTCTCCCGCTTGACTGACAGGGGAGGCAGACCTGAGGCCTGCAGGGGAATGAAATATGGATGGATCTGCCCCCTGCCTATCGCTGGTTTCAAATGAGAAGAAAAAAGCAAGGGGCGAAGGTTGACGGCGTTTGAGGACTCCTAATTGATTTCAAAGGGAAAGAGCTTGAGAGGCTATTAATTATTCACCAGGGTATATATAAGGGCAAAATGAAAGATATTTTGTGTTTTTCATATAGCATGTCATATGTGCCTATATTGTATTATGAAGAAAGGGACTTTTGGAAATATCCATCTATAAGTGCAGCTTACATTTCCTTACATATCCAGAATGTGTGCAGTGCATGGTCCTTATGTTGCTGGTCCGAGCCTGTGTTGCTGGCTGAGCGACCACCCTCCCAAATTGAGGCACTACACTGCCAGCATAAGGTGGGCATTCATTAGCCAGCCAGAGGGTTCTTATCTAATGGAAAACCAGAGGTACACCAGTCATCTTCAGTAATGTCAATGGATGACACACCACTGCTCCGACTGGCACGCACTCTTGCAGACTGGGGAGTCCAGACTGTGTCAAACAGACAGGCGGGTAGCAGGAGAGTGTGTCTCCGGGTCTTCATTCTGCCTGCTGGAAAGCTGAGTCTTACACAATTAAAAATTCCAGTTTGAAAATAGTGAGAAGTAAGCGAAGCCATACACTGTACATTTGGAATAGTATCTGCTGCCATTATGTTTATGTAGTCTTTATAATACGTGGCCTTCATTTAGAAGGGAAATTAATTTTTAAAAGCGTCATTCAAAATGAATGAATTTTATACTTTTTTGAGCAATTTATACATCATTGAGAAATTGACTTTCTCACATTTTCTAATTAAATTGAACTCCACAGTTATTCTCTGATCGGTCCTCACTTCACGCAAGCACACTGGGACCTGCTGGAGTTTGTGCCACCCAGAAGTGGCCTGTTGCATTAATACCGCCAGTGTCTTCAAGATTTTCAATATCTGAATCAAGGTCACTCGGTTGAAGACTGAAGACATTCAAGACTACCAATGAATCTGGTTACTTATCTTTGTCTTAAGAGCTTTAAGAACCAAGTATGTGCACATTATCCTAAATGTGGTCTGACCATTGTGCGGTATATTTTTAGCCTCATGTTGATCTAAATTGTACACATTTCGCTGCAGTATACAGTATATGCTATAATTAGCATGTTTTGTGCTGCTTCTCTGTATTGTCTGCTGTGGGACAATGATGATCCACCATGGGCACCAAGATACACGTCATTGTCCTCTGCGGGTTCACCGCCACCCAGCTGGTTTTTATAATGTACATCTTTTCTGCCTGCACATGAGTCTTTGGACTCAGTGCCCACATTGAATTTCATTAGATATGTGCCTGCACTGTCCTGCATGCTCAATCTTCCTGAGTTTCCTTTGCCGCTACCAAAGACGTGCAGCTCTTCTCATTTTCCTGTCATCCTTGTTTCACATCACTAGATTGAGTCACCTTCTGCTGGGCTCCTGAGCTCCTGGGATCCTGAGCCATAACTCACTTCCCCCCCACCCTGGTTCCCTCTGCGGAGTGCTCCCTTCTGTCCCAGGGGAACTGCAGTCTCACATGTCATCACACGGTTTATGTGATGTCAACAATCAGGTCCCCTCTCCTCCCCCCCCCCCACAGACAGCACAAACGATGAACCCCCTTCCCCCCTCATTCGTTAGTGCTGCGTTCGTGCCAGTTTCTGCAGTTGAAAATAGCGTTTATGCTGCTTTTGTGTCCAAGATATAGTGCCTTGATTTTTGGGGGTATTGACGTCAGTCAGCCTCCCTACAACGTCGTAGGGGAACTGGACCAGTCTCATTTTTCAGTGATGCGTTTGTGCCCAGCTGCTTTCATTCCTGATATACAAACATCTGCAACTCCTCTGATTAGGGTATGATATTGGTGACTCGTTTAATTTTCCTGTTATCACAAAACCACCGAAGATACCGGGATTTATCAAAATCAACTGCCGATCCCAAACAGAAACATGATTGCAGGCATTGTTATCGTCGCACCTGTAAAAGAGCGCTTGAACTTAACAGACAGGGTTACAGACGGTCAGAAGTCGCCGTACACGGTCAGTGATCAACCGAAAAAGTTATATCTCGGGAACAAAAGCAGCTGGGAATGGCACAAGCTGGCACAAACGCATCACTAACGAATGAGACCGGTTTGGTTTCCCCAGGTCATTGTATGGGGGCTGAGTGTCGTTACGACCCCGAAAAAAACAAGGCATTGTATCTCAAAAACGAAAGTAGCACAGACACTACTTTCAACGGCACAAACGCAGGACTAACGAATGAGGTGTGTTTCATCGTTTGTGCTGTTTGTAGGGGGGCAACTTCACGGAGTAGCACTTTATTTGAGAGACGAGTTTCACCCACACTGTACACACTCTGCATTTAATGGATGTCAGTGGATCACTAAAACGCAGGTTGTGTAGTGTGGGGGACTGAGCTTTTCTTAATTTGAGACTTCAACTTTAAATTGTAGAATTCAGTACCGCTGTCTGGGCTCCTGAGGCGTTGAATATTTTTTTAAAAAATTGGCTAAGATCTTCGTTTTCCACTTTGTCTTAAATGCTGAATATTTCCAGTGTGTTTTTCCTTGTGTGTCTGTTGTAAGGATGTGATGTTCGGAGCTTTGGGGTTCTGTGTGTAGGTCACGTGGGGAAGGGAGTCGTGAATGAAGCCTAACCACGTCGGGGCTGCTGGGGGTGACGGAGCTCTGGGCCTTCAGTAATATTTTATGGCCCCTGATGTCTTTCTCCTCCTCGTGCCCGCAGGTCTGTTCCAGAGGGCCATCGCTCAGAGCGGCTCGGCCATCTCCAGCTGGTCTGTCAACTACCAGCCGCTGAAGTACACCAACATCCTGGCCCGCAAGGTGGGCTGCAGCCAGGCGGCCGCCTCCACCACCGAAGTGGTCGAGTGCCTGCGGCGCAAGAGCTTCCGCGAGCTGGTGGACCAGGACATCCAGCCGGCACGCTACCACATCGCCTTCGGGCCGGTGGTGGACGGGGACGTGGTCCCGGATGACCCGGAGATCCTGATGCAGCAGGTCAGCGGAGGTGCCCTACGAGGGCGGCCCCAGCTCCGGCAGGGCAGATGGCGGCGGGCCAGGAATCGAACCCAGGAGCCCAGGGCAGGGCTCAGCATCGCTGCTGGGTTCAATTCCGGACCTGGGGTGCCCTCTGCGTGGGTTCTCCCTGGGTTCGTATGGGTTGCCTCCCACAGCCCCAAAGACATGCTGGCGGTTTAACTGGCCTCTGGGAAAACCGGCGCTAGGATGAGTGTGCGTGTCCATCTGCCCCGTGATGGACCAGCGGCCCATCCAGGGCTGTACCCCGCCCTGCGCCCGCTGCGTGCCGGGATAGGCTCCGGCTCTCCCAAAACCCTTCATTCATGAAGCGGTTAGAAAATGGATGGATTTGTAATTTAGCAAAATGGAACAACACCGAAAGCTGGTAAATACATCTGCCTGCCACTCCAGTATATACTGCGTGAGGCTTCTGGATCCATGGTGCCAAGGCTGGACAGTGTCGGCCTGGAGAGCTGCAGCAGAAGCGATTATACCCTTATTACATGGGGCCTCTGCCTTAGCTGTCGAACTCTTCCCGGGTACGAACACTCGGAGACAGAGTGGGGATGGTGCTGTAGCCTGTCCTGACATAATAACAACGTGTTTACTGAAAAAAAAGAAATGTTGCTGATCGGTAATGATCTGGGGGAGCCTGCCTGTGAAGGTTTTTTAAGGAGATGAAATTAGTACACCACGTGCACACACTGACCTGTGGGAAACACAGATTCAGTGTCCTTTGAGGTGAGGTGTTAATGGAGAATTACTTCATCTTGGTCATTTCCACAGGGTTTTTTTTTTTGGGTAGTTTGAATTTCATAGGTTCGCTAATGATATGTTGAACAGCAGCCTTGCTCTCTCCTTCAGTGAAGGTTGAAGACAATGTTGAAAAAAAAAAACAGTGTTACTTTAATAAGGAATGCTGCTCTAGACAGAGAGCAGTGTTCGTGAAACGTGTGGTGAAGTCGAACAGCATGCTTTTGAACTCACTGAAACTGAGGAAACCGTTTAAAAGCCCTCTTTTTGAGGAGCACCTGGTTATTTTTCAAAACTGTTTAAAAAAAACTGTTTTGCACTTTGGCACTTGGAAGAGCAAACGGGTCCTTGGTGATCAGCATTACTGTTCTGACGCTCTGTGCCTTTTGCCGTGTGTTTTCGACAGGGGGAGTTCTTGAACTATGACATTCTGATCGGGGTCAACCAGGGAGAAGGCCTGAAGTTCGTGGACGACGGGGGCTCGGAGAACGAGGATGGCATCTCGGCTGCAGCCTTTGACTACACCATCTCGAACTTTGTGGACAACCTCTACGGCTACCCTGAAGGCAAGCCGCAACAGAGCACTGTCACTGTGCAATCTCTTTTCAGATCACAGTTTTACATGGCACCCCGTTTGCCAGTAAACAAGCATCTACTCGTGGAATGAGTTTCGGTCCACCGTGTTGAAACAAAAGCGCTCGGTATGGTTTCATCTGCCAGCTGTCAGTCTCTCTGAGCCGACCAAAATAACTAAGCTCTTATGATCAAACACGGGGCTCTGCTTTCTGCTCATGTTGTTATCGGAGAATCTGAACATCTTAACCAGAACTGAAGTAGCACCCTTCGGGCTCGTGAGGGAGCTGGGATCTATCCCGGCAACCAACGGGCACGAGGGAGGGTACAATCGTTTTAGGGGACGCCAGCCTGCCTGTCACAGGCCTGACACACAGATACAAACAGACACCCACACACACACCCTCATGCCTAAGGCCAGTTTTCCCAGAAGTCAGTTAAAACGCCAGTGTGTTTTTAGCTCACGGGGGGAAACTCGCGTGAACACGGGGAGAACATACAAACTCCCCACAGACAGCACCCCAGGTCTGGAATTGAACCCTGGGCCTCAGTGCTGTGAGACACTCTGCCACCACCCCCGCCCTGTTCCTAGACTTATTTAGCTGAAACTGCATTAGAGAGTTCAAGATTACAATCTGTTAAAGCGCTGGTGTTCGGCAGTAACTGGAAAAAGCAATGCAAGGCATAGACACTGCAATACACTAGTTATTCATGTAGACTATACAGCAGGTGATGCAGTCAAGGAAGGATGAAAGTTGTTTACAAATTGTCTTCACAACCTTGTACATGGACCGTGGATGCCATGATGTGTAATTCTTTCATACAGTACCCGGTATAGATTCAATACACAGACTTGAACTTAAACCCAGCAGATAGGGACCAGTGTAGAATAAGTCTTTAGAAAGGAGGCGTGGGTGAGATAGCAGGAGGGATGTCTGATTATATCTCACAATCACAGATCCTTTCCCTCTGCAACTCAACTGCGTGTCCTGCGTGTCTGTACTGTAAATCCACACCGCCTCCCGGAAAGAGCTGATTTGCCTGTTTTCTCAGGCAAGGACATCCTGCGGGAGACCATCAAGTTCATGTACACCGACTGGGCCGACCGCGACAACGGCGAGATGCGGCGCAAGACCCTGCTGGCGCTCTTCACCGACCACCAGTGGGTGGCCCCGGCGGTGGCCACCGCCAAGCTGCACGCCGAGTTCCAGTCGCCCGTCTACTTCTACACCTTCTACCACCACTGCCAGACGGAGTCGCGGCCCGAGTGGGCCGACGCCGCCCACGGCGACGAGATCCCGTACGTCTTCGGCATCCCCATGATCGGGGCCACCGACCTCTTCCCCTGCAACTTCTCCAAGAACGACGTCATGCTCAGCGCCGTGGTCATGACCTACTGGACCAACTTCGCCAAGACTGGGTAAGAGGCCAGAGAAGCGCCGGCGGACCCGGGCTCTTTCCAGCCGTGAATTGACGGGAATTCAGCTCCTCTCATTTTCCTCTCATCCTCGTTTCACATCACTAGATTGAGTCACCTCCTGCTGGGCTCCTGAGCTCCTGGGATCCTGAGCCATAACTTGTAGGGAGACTGACTGACGTCAAGACCCCCAAAAATAAAAAAATCAAGGCTCTATATCTCAGAAACAAAAGCAGCACAAATGCTATTTTTAATGGCACAAACTGGCATGAACGCAGCACTAACGAATGAGGGGGGAGGGGGGTTCATCGTGTGTGCTGTCTGTATGGGAGGAGGGGGCAACCTCACGGAGCTGTTTGTTGACATCACATAAACCATGTGATGACATGTAAGACTGCAGTTCCCCTGGGACAGAAGGGAGCACTGCGCAGAGGGAACCAGGGTGGTGGGGAAGCAAGTTATGGCTCAGGATCCCAGGAGCTCAGGAGCCCAGCAGGAGGTGACACAATCTAGTGATGTGAAACGAGGATGACAGGAAAATGAGAAGAGCTGCATTCCCGTCAATTCATGGTTCCCACGCAGCTGGAAAGAGCCCGAGTCTGGCATTGACAGGAATGTTATCCGTCCATCCGTTTTCTAACCACCTTATCCAGTTCAGGGTAGCAGGGGATAGCCAGAGTCAGTCCTGGGAAGCAATGGGCACAAGGCGGGGTACACCATCCCTAGAATGGACGCCCGTCCATCACAGATCACACAAAGACACACTCGCACCCGGGCCGGTGTTCCCAGCGCTGTGAGGCCGCAATGCTCACTACTGCGCCACAGTGCTCTCTTCTACTTAAAGACTGTACATTTCAGTGAAAAACAAAATAGATCATTTATCCTTGTATTCATTTTGTTTATGTTTGCATAATTGCAGACAGGTTTTCTAATCGACATTATAAATTACTTGTATATCAGATATAACAACATTTTGTTGGTATTTGTGTTTTTAAAGGATATTATTAGTTTTATGAAATTCAGGTGCAATATGATAAGATCACTTTATTGGCCAAATACAATTTCTTGTATTAGGAATTTGTCTTTTCGCATACCCCAACTTGCTCTCCATGAGACACACACACAGGGAGAGAAGCTTGGGGTCAGAGTGTGGGGTCAGCCATTTATACAGCACCCCTGGAGCAGTTGGGGTTAAGGGCCTTGCTCAGGAGCCCAACAGAGTAGGATTCCTCTGCCGGCTGCAGGATACGAACCGGCAACTTTCCAGCCACAGGCGCAGATCCTTAGCCACAGAGCCACCACACTGCCCTGCTCTGCCCTGCCCCTAAAAAGAATTAACTCTTACTTTATCTAACTTGGTGATGCAATTAGGCATATTTTGTATAGAGGAGGTAAAATAGAGTACAGTTTGAATTTGTCAGAACCTACCATATGTTGACCCTTCATGGGATATAGTAGCTATAGGTATTGGATGGATAATCTCCCGTAATTGTGTTGACAGTTCAGGAGTTATTTCTTGTGAGGGAATTAGTTTCTTATCTTTTTTAAGCTGAACTCCAATTTTTCAACGGGGAGCAAGCATTAAAGAATAATTGCTCCTGGTGTCTTGATAATATGAAAGTTTGTTCCTTTTGATTTGATAGAGAAAAAAAAAGCTCTCTACGGGCTCAACTATAAGCAGTTCCAAGCGAGTGAAACCTGAACTTTGGTTGATTTACTGAAGCAATAAATCTTTCTGATCCGTTTGGCAATTGCTGCGGTTGTGTTACAGTTTGCAGCCGCTGCAATTACCAGGCAGATCAGAAAAATGTCTAGGTCTGGTCCTGTATCTCAGTCTCTCAGCAGTTTGCTCTCGCTTTGTGTTTCGTGCGCGGCGGTGCGCGTTTTTCCCCGATGTTCTTCACAGGAAACCCCTATCGTTCCCCCATCCGAACGGCCGCTGCTTTTTCCTCTCTTCCCAGGGACCCCAACCTGCCGGTTCCCCAGGACACCAAGTTTATCCACACCAAGCCGAACCGCTTCGAGGAGGTCATCTGGACCAAGTTCAACTCCAAGGACAAGCACTACCTGCACATCGGGCTCAAGCCCCGCGTGCGGGACAACTACCGCGCCAACAAGGTGGCGTTCTGGCTGGAGCTGGTGCCGCACCTGCACAGCCTGCACGAGGAGCTCTTCCCCCCCACCACGCCCCGCCTGCCCCCCGGCACCTCGCGCCCGCCCTGGACCCGGACGCGCCCCGGCACCACGCGCCACCCCTACCCCACCCTGCCCCCCGACGACGAGGACGGAGCCGAGCGGCCCCGCTACTCCCCCTTCCCGGGGGACACCCGCGACTACTCCACCGAGCTGAGCGTGACGGTGGCGGTGGGGGCCTCCCTCCTCTTCCTCAACATCCTGGCCTTCGCCGCCCTCTACTACAAGCGGGACAAGCGGCACGAGCTGCGGCGCCGCCTGAGCCCGCAGAGGAGCCCCGCCAACGACCTGGCGCACAGCCAGGAGGAGGAGATCATGTCGCTGCAGATGAAGCACTCGGAGCACGACACCCACGACATGGAGCCCCTGCGGCCCCACGAAATCCTCCGCCCGGCCTGCCCTCCGGATTACACCCTGGCCCTGCGGAGGGCGCCCGATGACGTGCCCCTAATGACGCCCAACACCATCACCATGATCCCCAGCACCATCACTGGCATGCAGCCCCTCCATGCCTTCAACACGTTCCCGGCCACCGGCCACAACAACACTCTTCCTCACCCCCACTCCACAACCCGGGTATAGCCGTGCCCCCCCGGCCCCGCCCCTTCGGAAGGACCACCCCCCTCCCCCTTGGTGCTCCGCAGAGGTGTACGGTACACGACGGATTGGGTTGTTTTGGGGAAGCATCCAGCCCCTGGATGTTGGTTGCTGTTTTTTTCTTTCGGAGAAATTCCGGGAGCTCCAGTGGTCTGTTGTGCTGACGGATTTGCCAAACTCCAGCAAAGCCTGATGGAGGAATAAAGCTGTATTTTCCGTTGTAGCAGATCTCCCCAGCACCCCTGTTCTCCTCTGTTCTCCTGTCGCTCTGGAATTCGTCTTACCTACTCTAGTTTCCGAATTTTCTAGATCTCATTTCTGATGTGTCGTCATCATCCTCTCTCTTCCTCTACGTGCTCCAATCTCCCGATCTCCTCTGTCTTGTCACCCCTCTCTCGTCACCTGTTCCTTTTCCTAATTTGCTTCAAACTCCCTCTTGCTCTTATCTTTGGCTTTTTTCTCAGTTCAGTACATTTCCCTTCGCCCGTCCACTCTCCTCCTGCTTCTTGTTCATAGCTCCTGGTTTTGCTTTTCATCCTCTCCCATCTCTCCTCTCTCCCTCTCCATGAGATCTTATTTCTAGCTCTTGGAAATCGTTTTCAAGAATGCAAGAAATAAACAGGGGAGAAAATAAAATCCTAACTCTAATTCTACCAGCATTCTTGGTGCCAAGGACTGTGGTTTCAGCCTGCCTCTTCAGGAAAAACACAAGACTGTGAGGAAAGCTACAAAGGAAATATCAAAAGTGCCAAACTTAATTTCTTCTTCTGATTTTATTTTCTTTACTTTGCTAATGTTTGTTTTGGGGAGGGGGGGAGAGGGAATGCTAAAATAAGTGTATAAATGGTTTGCTCTGTGGAATCTATGCATGACAATTTTTAAACAAGATGAGAAAGTGAATTTGAGATTCCAGCTTTTATTGAGGGGAGGAGAGATTGGGGGACAGGCCCATGGCACTTCACAAGACCTAAACTTGACTCGCAGAGGGAATCTGTTTTTCTGTAGATATTTACAAAACAACCCCCTCCCCCAACAATCTTCTGCATTCTTAATTTCCTCCTTCTGTCGCAGAACAGTCCCCTACCCGATGTTTCAATGGAGAGCTGAGCAGGACACTTTTCTCCATATTTTTCTAAACTCTGGAAGACAGCTTTGCTGCCACCTCGTCTGTTGCGCCACACAAATGTCAAGAGATACAAAGACCAAACGTTTCCTGATTTATGCCTGTAGCGTAGATGGCTAACTGCATTTTCTTATTTTGCGTGATTCTTTGGAAATTATGTGGTTGTTCCTAATATTTCTTTTTGGTTTTGTTGGGTTGATTTTCTGCCATAATCCTAGACGTTTACAGTATTATGCTTCTTGCATCAGATGGATGGCTGACTAGACAGGTGATTGAGCTCACGATGGCCATGGAAAGTATGTTTTTAATGTCTTCTCTCAATGCTAAGGTTGCTCTTTTTTGACCGAATTCAAATTACTATGGGAACATACAATATGACTTGCCCACTAATGAGGTGCACTTCAAATAGGCTCATTTAAACACCAAAAATGTTACGCAGTGATTAAATAGTCTTTTTGTCGTTGCATTGTGCGTCTTTTTTTTTCCTTCACTTTTTCTGCGCTATAAATACCGTTGTTTTTTAAGAGCTGTAGTTCCCCAAAGAATATTTTTAAATGTTTTTCCTATCAGGTAGACAAGAGACACCATTATTTTAACTAGAACTGTGGTCTGTAACCCTAGAGCCCTTGAGGTTTTGCTGTTTTCTTCACTGTGTGACTAGGGATCATCCTGTCATGGTATCCCTGTCAGCTGAAAGCTCTGTGAGACCAGCCCTGTAGTCCCTGAATTAGGGAACAGTTCTGACAGATGTCAAGAAAGCACCCATCCTCTATCATGCCAAGCCAAGGAGCTGCAGGTTCATGCTCATGTTTGCTGTCTGTGTTTGTCTCAGGAGTCAGTGTTGTAAACTAGGATTCCCAACCCTGCTGCTGGGCATCCACACACCTGCTGGTTTGTGTGCTCCCTGTGTCCTCGGTGAGATCATTCAATCCTTCACTGTCCCCATAACGAGTTTCGTTTCAACTATTTAATTGGTTTCCAGTTCCTAATTTTGTCCGACTGTTGCCTTATAAATACTGTGTTTCTTATGTAACTTCAAAACCTCCAGCTCGCTGCCCAGAAAAAAAACAAGCTTGCAAAGTTTCTCATCAAGCCACTTGCGTTTTGGTTCATTTAAGTAAACTGAAATGCGAACCAGCAGATGTGTGGCAGCCCTTGGTCTATACAGTGCAGAAACTCAACTATCTCCGGGGATGATGAATGACTTCTTCGAAATCTGAAGTCTCACTGAAAAGGAACTCAGTTTTAATTCTGACAATTAAGAGTCTGAGCATCAGAATAAGTAAGAAAAGGGCTTTTCAACACACATCCCTACTGCAGGGCAATGTAGCTTCTGAACTCTGGGCCTACTGACCCAAGTGTCTCTTTGTTGTTATTCCAGCTGACCTCTCAGTAAAGAAAATCATCAACAGGACTGATGCTGTTTCTGAATAAGATGAAGGTGGTGGTTGTGTCACAGCTGTGAGAACTGTTTTCGAGACCCTCAGCGCTGCTCATTTCCCATGCAGAGCAGCAGGAAGGAACACAGGTATTCCGGAAGGTGTTCTGTCTTGACACAGTTTACAGGAAGGGGAACGTTATTTTAATGACAGATACATTAGAACAGGGGTGGGCAACCTGTGCAAGCTCGCAAACCAAATTCCACTAAAATCGAGATCACGTGATTGTCCAAGAACGAGAACAAGCCTGAAAATCACCTCTTATCGGTAACTGACCGTGGCCGAGAGAATAAATGTCATCACTGTCCTCACAACGTTGCCGCTTTTCATTTAGTCCCCCAACTCTTTCACATCTGCTTTTGTGTTTTTCAAGTCGCTCACTAAAACGCCGCGGATAACAGTTAAGTTTTTCAGCAGACGACATTTCTGTGTGGACAAATCCAAATCATTAAATGGAAAGAGACCTGTGTATTTGTGGGGGGTGGAGAGCATTATGTTTGTGAAAGTCAACAAAACAAGATTTAAATGCCATCAGCAGATTGGAAGGAAGCCCAGCAAGTAGTTACAAATCAAGACTATTATTTGGATTCCTGCTCTGATATGAATGATGAAGTATTTATTATCTTTTGAAATCTGCCCATCTCAATCTTCAGTTGATGAAGATTCAAACCCACAGATCTCCCACTACAGAGTCAGGATCACACTGTGGCCTTATAACTTAAGGTTCAACTCACTTCAATGACCAGTAATGTCAACAAAGCCAATATCATATCCAATAATGAGTTAATCACATAATGCAGGCAGCACAGTGACCTTGCTGTGAGATACCATTAGCTTGCTATGAGCTGTGAATTAGTATATTGAGGCGTTCAATATTCTACTTTCTCAAGTACAGACTCAAATTGGCAGTGATTATGGCCTCAGGCAGGAATCCAATTGACAATATGAAGTCACATTCCCATTACACTTCTGAGTGTTGGTTCTTCAACATTACGCACAAAGAGCATCCTGCCACACAGTGCAGTGAAGGTTTCAAAGTAGCTTTAGGAAAATAGTAAGGAATCCCCTAGACTTGCCAGCCATGCTAACTGTATTCTCTGTTTTAGGGATGTTATTTTATCTTTGGTTGTTTTTACAGTGATAATATTGCAACCATGTCTTCATGCAGAATATCTCCACAAGGGTATCATCCCTGAATGCGCAGCTAATCAACATCAGTTGTGAACACGATCTTGTCCAAAAAGCAAAAACGTAGAAGCATATTTTAATGGGCTATAGTATATCAGTGTATTATTAAAGCAAACGTTTGGCCATGAACTGTATTTGGCACTTTAATGGCATGACTTGAATTTCTTGGCAGTTGTTGGCAACCTTGTGAAAAAGCTCATGACCAGTCTTTAATACGCACCTCTCTTAATGCCAGTGCCCTTCCAGTGAAAGGCTTTCTCTTTCGAACGCTGTTATGTGAGCCCACAAAACATCCATCCATTTCCTGACCACTTTAGCCAACACAGGGTCACGGCAGAGCTGGAGTCTATCCCAGGAAGCAATGGGAGGAAGGCAGGGTATGTCTTTAGGCTGTGTGAGGAAACCAGAGCACACAGAGAACATACAAGCTCAACATAGATAGCACTCCAGGACCAGAATTGAACCCAGGGCCTCAGAGTGCACCACCATGCCACCCCCTGCATAACACGTGGAGCAGAAATTCTGATGTTTTCATTATGCTAGCAAGCTGTTTTGTCCAATGTTCTTTTTTTCATTTTGCTTACTTTCATTTCGCATCCAGCTCCAGCTTTTCATTTTCACTGACGAGACTCTCTCACTACAAAAGCAAAGGGGTGCACATTTTGATCTGTTCATGAATGCGCACAGTACATTCCTTCTTCGAAATTGAAGGTACTAGTCATTGCTCTCCATTAGAGAATAAAGGGAATTAAATAAAAAGGCAATAAGCATAAATATGCAAGGTTGTTAAAAATGAACATTTAAAGGTGAAATAGAGCACAGCCAGTGTGAGGTGAGCAATTACGCACTTTTAGCATTTTGAAATAAGATTTTATTTTCAATTAAAGACTGTGCTATGGTAATGGCATATAAAGACATAGAGTTGTGTGCACTATGGTAATGAGGCACAGAAACAGACATAATTGGTTCCACTCTGAGACCAAGTCGCCAACTCCTGCACTAGAGTCAAAGTAGATCAATAGAAACAAAGTAAGATACTGTATGAGTGATGGGCTTTACCCAGACTCTCAATTGTGATTGCTTGGAGGTCTTGTGTCCTTGGGGATTGTTCTACCTGAGATGTCGGTTTCATCTACTATGATTATTCAGTTGACTGCAAAATTGTAACACTTCTTAACCTGCCCTGAGTGTTCTTTATTTTAGTAATTGCACCTTCAATGAAGTGAATGCTTTGAGTAAAGATTACCAAATAACAATAAGAAATGTTCTAGGTATGGCCAAGAAAATAATGATGTTAATTATTTAATTGGCTACCCCAATCAGGACACAACCCACAAGATCTCAGGCCTTCCAAGAACTGAGTGTGAGCTACATGAGTTTGCAGCAGCTCCTGCCATCAACAAACAGATGGTTCACTGTCTCCTGCCTGCTATAGGAAGTGTATAATTCAACGTTCTTTGTTTGCTATGTTTTTCTTACTGCGGCCTATAGTACATTTGGAATGCATTTTGAGCCATGGTGTGGGTTTCTACTGTAGCAAAGTCATAACCCAAATTACAAAACAACCTTTAAGTGGATACTGAGCTGCAAAGAATCAATGTTAAGATGCAGCAGGGAAAGCCTGGATTCATTGATAATCACCAGGATCAAAATATCATTGATTTCAGTTCCGAGCTCTGCACAGCATGCAGATATTTAACGGGCTAAAACCAAATGAGTTCAATTAAAGCTATTTTATATATTTATTTGGCCCCAAAGAGAATAAACAGACATACTGGGAAACAGTCATTCAGTTGAGCTTTAGTATTTGGTGGGCAGGGTCACACTTACAGTAGCAAGCTGAAAGTCGTCATACTGAAACTGTACTTAGTATCAGATAAAAAGTGTTACTTTTACAATCTTACAAAACAAACGTGCATTAAACAAACCAGTGTTTTGACAAAAAAAGTATTTTTAGAATAGAGCAATATAGGTGTACAGAATCAGAGTAAATTTATAACTGCAATTATAATGGTTGAGAATAAAATTATCAGTAATGATGAACATGTACAGTAAGTATGCTGACAAACTGTGAAGAGTATTGTAATATTTTGGATGCTATAAAAATTGAAAGTGAAGTGGTTCAAATTTGTATGAAGTATGGGGGTGAATCACAAATTATTTTGAATATAGCGTTCATATTTTTCCTTCATAAATGTAATAAGTGTAATACCATAGTTAACATGAAGACGGGTTTCGTTCATTAATGAGCTTTATTTAATGTATGACATTTTGTTATGATCCTCCTCCATGTGGCACATGCTAGAGCCCACTTCTATGATGACAGTGTGTTGAAAACTCATTTTATTCTTAAGAACTAATATTTGCTACGCTTTGATTCCTTTCAGTTGCCATGGTCCACTCATGATACTGTCAGCTTTAGTCACCATCTTAAAACTTCTGTACGCGTTGCACAAATCCTGTTACATCAAACGGTGAACAAATACTGTTCATGTAGAGTTCTGAGGTGCACAGGAAAAATTGCCCCTGCAAAACGAATCAATATCTTTTATAAAGTTGGAAGTTTCGGAAATGATGTGGTCCGAACAAGACCCTGGCTACAAATTGATTGTTTGACTGGGAAGTAAAGGTAGGGAATTGTTTTTGTTTGGGTTTTTTTTTATCGGTAGAACTAATTTATTTCATGTCTGAAACAAGGTTTTGGAATTGGCTTTCAACGCAGGAGGAACAAAAGCACAGCGCTAATTCATACGCGCGACAGCGAACACCACAACAGGGCGCAGCGAGTCGGATCGAGCTGACAGCAAAGCGGTCAGGCGGTTCGAGGTGACCGATACTG